CTTTTATGACTCGTGCACTTCAACTCCCAGAATTCCTGAGCCAGCCATGCTGAGGAGAAAGGGAGAGGTTTCCAAGCTGAGCCATGCCGGCTCAGGAATTCTGGGAGTTGAAGTCCACGAGTCATGAAGGGGCCACAGTTCCCTCATGCTGGCTCAGGAATTCTGGGAGTTGAAGTCCTCCAGTCATGAAGGGGGCCATAGTTCCCTCATGCTGGCTCAGGAATTCTGGGAGTTGAAGTCCACGAGTCATAAAAGAGCCAAGGTTACCTACCCTGGACTAGCTCCAACAAGGCTTAAATTCGCAGTGAGTAAGTTCCAGGAATTACAAGGGATCTCTTTGAAGAGATGTTCTCCATTTAAACACCCATTCCACCCGCCATCAACTGCATCAGAGAAACTTTACCATGGCTACATCAGCCTGGAAAATCTGCTTGATGAATTTGTTTCGTGAGGAATGGACCAACTGGATAATATCTCCGTGAAGGGTGTCTCTGTTTTTCTCCAGAAATCCTGGGGAGAGAAAACAGCAGCAGCTGGAAAAGAGATCATTTCTATACAGGTGGTCCTCGACTTACGACAACTGAGCCCAAATTTTCTATTGCTAAGCAAGAACAGTTGTTTTGCCCCATTTTACCACCCCTCGTGCATCCGTTGTTAAGCGAATCGCTCCGGTTGTTCAATGAAGCAGGCTTCCCCATTTGACTTTGCTTGTCAGAAGCTCTCAAAAGGGGATCACGTGACCCTGTCACAAATACATGACAACGGCAACCGTCACAAATACCGGACAGTTGCCAAGCGTCCAAATTTTGATTGTGTCATCACAAGGATGCTGCAAAGGTCGTAACTCTGAAAAGTGTCATAAGTCATTTTTTTCCGTGTTGTTCTAACTTCAAGCAGTCACTAAATGAATGCTTGTAAGTTGAAGACTACTTGTACAGAGTTAGTCCTTGACTTACGACCATTTGCTTAGTAACCGTCTAAAGCAGGGGTCTTCAAACTTGGCCCTTTTATGACTTGTGGACTTCGATGCCCAGAATTCCTCAGCTAGCGTGCCTGGCTGAGGAATTCTGGGAGTTGAAGTCCACCAGTCATGAAGGGGCCATAGTTTCCCTCATGCTGGCTGAGGAATTCTGGGAGTTGAAGTCCACCAGTCATGAAGGGGCCATAGTTCCCCCATGCTGGCTGAGGAATTCTGGGAGTTGAAGTCCATGAGTCATGAAGGGGCCATAGTTCCCCCATGCTGGCTCAGGAATTCTGGGAGTTGAAGTCCACAAGTCATAAAAAGGCCATAGTTCCCCTCATGCTAGCTGAGGAATTCTGGGAGTTGAAGTCCACAAGTCATGAAGGGGCCATAGTTCCCCCATGCTGGCTCAGGAATTCTGGGAATGCAAGTCACAAAGGGGCCATAGTTTCCCCATGCTGGCTGAGGAATTCTGGGAGTTGAAGTCCATGAGTCATAAAAGGGCCACATTTGAAGACCCCTGCTCTAAAGTTACAGCAGTGCTGAAAAAAAGGGATTCAGAAGCTCTGTTTGGTCTTAACTGTTGCATAACTCGGAAGTGATTTGGGCACTTGACAATTGACTCACATTTATGACGGTGTCCCAGGGTCACGTGATAACCATTTTCAACCTTCCCAGCGGGCTTCTAACAAGCAAAGTCAATCAGTAAGGATTTGCTTAACGACTGTGATGATGTGCTTAATGACCACAGCAAAAAAAAAAGTTGCAAAGTCAGGCATGGTCGTGCAATGACTCACTTAATGACCATTGCTTAGGGACATAGCCCGGTTCTAGCCCGGCTTATGGTCATAAGCTGAGGACTTTCAGAATTAGGCCATTTCCAATGGAGGCCCTGCCCCAAACCCACAATACTACCTTTTGTTTCATAGTAGACAACGCCGGCAAAGTGGTTGATGCCAAAGTGGGTGTCGTGGTTGTTTTTCGGTGGGATGTAATTGGTGTTCAGCTTGTGCTGAGAATTCAGCTTGTTGAGCATGGTGGCATCAGTTCCCTGCATCACAAAAAAAAAAAACCACAGGACAGCCCCAAATTAGGGTTTCTATGGTTAAAAAAAACCACTTGCAACTCTGACATAACTGATCTGCAGCGTAAACATATAACAGAATAACAGAATAACAACAGAATAACAGAATAACAACAGAATAATAGAATAACAACAGAATAATAGAACAACAGAGTTGAAAGGGACCTTGGAGGTCATCTAGTCCAACCCCCTGCTCAGGCAGGAAACCCTATATCATTTCAGACAAATGGCTGTCCAGTCTCTTCTTAAAAACCTCCAGTGATGGAGCACCCACAACTTCTGGTGTTCCACTGATTAATTGTCCCCACTGACAGGACATCCCTCCATAGTTCTAGGTTGCTTCTCTCCTTGAGTTTCCATCCGTTGCTTCTGCCTCCAGGGGCTTTGGAGAATAGCTTGACTCCCTCTTCTTTGATGCAGCCCCTGAGATCCTGGAAGACTGCTATCATGATACCTCTAGTTCTTCTTTTCATTAAGCTACTAGACATACAAAATTCCTGCAACCGTTTCTCGTATGTTTTAGCTTCCAGTCCTCTAATCATCTTTTGTTGTTCTTCTCACATGAAGACTATAGAATCCAAGAATTAAACCCAGGTCAAAAGAAACATTACTTTTGAGGAACTTACAAGTGCCTTAAAGCATGCAGTATTGTTTACTAATTGTAGCACCTCTTTAAAACTGTGTCCAGTTTGGGGAAACATTTGTCACAGGAAGAGATGCATGTCAAAATGTTTGCTTTGAGCCTTTGCAAGTTTTAACAAACTCATAAATGTCTCAGCCTTTCCTTTAGGGAAAAAAAAAGCCATTCCTGTCCATCCTTTTGCATTTACAACACCAGTCCCAGCCCTGCAAAAGGAAATGGGATCTGCAGACGGAGGAAAGCTGAACCACCCTTGGGCTGGATCATCCATTAAAAGGATTCCTCCACTGCAGCTTGGATCAGGTCCAGACGAGTCAAGTCCTGCTTGAGCAGGGGGCTGGACTAGAAGACCTCCAAGGTCCCTTCCAGCTCTATTCTATTCTATTCTATTCTATTCTATTCTATTCTATTCTATTCTATTCTATTCTACGGCATCCAGTTTTGGTCACCATGATGTAAAAAAGATGTTGAGATTTTAGAAAGAGTGCAGAGTGCAGAGTGCAGAGAAGAGCAAGAAAGATGATTAGGGGACTGGAGGCTAAAACATATAAGGAACGTTTGCTGGAATTGGGTGACATGATAGCAATCTTCCAGTATCTCAGGGGCTGCCCCACAGAAGAGGGAGTCAAGCTATTCTCCAAAGCGCCTGAAGGCAAGACAAGAAGCAACGGATGGAAACTCATCAAGGAGAGAAGCAACCTGGAACTAAGGAGAAACTTCCTGACAGTGAGAACAATTAACCAGTGGAACAACCAGCCTCCAGTAGTGGTGAATGCTCCAACACTGGAAGTTTTTAAGAAGAGACTGGACAGCCATTTGTCTGTAATGATATAGGGTTTCCTGTCTGAGCCGGATGTTGGACTAGATGACCTCCAAGTTCCTTTCCAACTTCTTCTTCTTCTTCTTCTTCTTCTTCTTCTTCTTCTTCTTCTTCTTCTTCTTCTTCTTCTTCTTCTTCTTCTTCTTCTTCTTCTTCTTATTCTTCTTCTTCTTCTTCTTCTTCTTCTTCTTCTTCTTCTTCTTCTTCTTCTTCTTCTTCTTCTTCTTCTTCTTCTTCTTCTCCTCCTCCTCCTCCTCCTCCTCCTCCTCCTCCTCCTCCTCCTCCTCCTCCTCTTCTTCTTCTTCTTCTTCTTCTTCTTCTTCTTCTTCTTCTTCTTATTATTATTATTATTATTATTATTATTATTATTATTATCTTGTCTTAACTGCAATGATTCACTTAATAACTCTGGCAAAAGAGGTCATTATCATCATCATCAAAAACAACAACAACAACCTGGAATTAAAGAGACACTTCCTAACAGTGAGGACAATAAACCAGACAATTAATGGAATTGCTTGCCTCTGGAAGTTGTGGGTGCTCCATCACTGGAGCTTTTTGAGAAGAGATTGAACAACCATTTGTCTAAAATGGTATAGGGTCTCCTGCTTGAGCAGGGGGCTAGACTAGACTAGAGGATCTCCATGATCCCTTCCATGTCTGTTATTCTGTTAAGCGGGATGTTTTCTGATTTTCCCATCCAGCTTACAGCGCTGAGATTTCTCAGTACAATTTCATAACTGGGACTGGACGTTGCATTTCTAAACAATGCTCGTGTTAAGAGAATCACGCTTGATTTTATGGCCTCCACCGACTTTGCCTGTGATCATAAAGGGCAATCAAATGAGGCTCCATCACTTGAGGTTTATAAGAAGAGACTGGACAGTCACTTGATTGAAATGGGGTAGGGCAGGGGTCTTCAAACGGCCCTTTTATGACTTGTGGACTTCAACTCCCAGAATTCCTGAGCCAGCATGGGGGAACTATGGCCCCTTCATGACTCGTGGACTTCAACTCCCAGAATTCCTGAGCCAGCATGGGGAACTATGGCCCCCTCATGACTTGTGGACTTCAACTCCCAGAATTCCTGAGCCAGCATGGGGGAACTATGGCCTCTTCATGACTTGTGGACTTCAACTCCCAGAATTCCTGAGCCAGCATGGGGGAACTATGGCCCCTTCATGACTCGTGGACTTCAACTCCCAGGCCAGCATCTAAGGCCTCTTCATGACTTGTGGACTTCAACTCCCAGAATTCCTGAGCCAGCATGGGGGAACTATGGCCCCTTCATGACTCGTGGACTTCAACTCCCAGAATTCCTTAGCCAGGCATGCTGGCTGAGGAATTCTGGGAGTTGAAGTCCACAAGTCATAAAAGGGCCACGTCTGAAGGCTCATGCTATAAATGGAGCACTGGAGGGGGGGGGGAAGGATGTCTTAAAAGCGTCCTTGCAACTTGGCGAAACGCCCACCTTGGGGAATTTGCTCTCCTCGTCGATGAGGGAAATAAGGTTCATGGGTTTGATGGCGATCATGTCCAGCGCGTCCTGATTGTCCGTGAATTCAATGTGCTGCCAGTTGATATTTTCCAGGTTGTATTCCTCCTGCTCCAGTTTGAAGACGTGACGCACAAAGAACTGTTGCAGGTTCTCGTTCGCAAAATTAATGCAGAGCTGCTCGAAGCTGGAGGGCGAGAAACACAGGTTGATTCACGACGGTAGCGACTACCGTACCACCGGCCCACGAACCCAACAGAATCCAAATCAACACCGCCAACCGGCACCACCCTTCAACCATCCCGCGCAATCCCCCACTCCCACCAGCACTTCACCTCCCAGTGATCCTCATCTGATGTGACCTCCCCATCATAAGACCCTCACTTGACCCACACACACCCCTGACCCATCACAACACCCACTGACCGCACGATGCCTTTATAAGCAGAAAAACGCAGACACAGGCACCCCCTCCACTCCGCTGAAGAGGTTAGCTAGCCTGGCAACGAAACGTTCAGAAACCAACCCACGAGCTCGGAGAACGAATCTCCACACTCACAGATTGATTTATTGATTTATTCAACGTTTATACGGCCTGTCTTATTGTTATAAATAACTCAGGGCAGCAGATATACCTAACACTCCTTCCTCCTTGTATTTTCCACATAACAACAACCCTTTTGAGGTGAGTTGGGCTGAGAGAGAGGGAGACGTAAAATCGCCCAGCTGGTTTTCATGTCTAAGGTGGGACTAGAATTCACTGTCTCCTGGTGATTGGCCCAGAGTCACCCAACTGGTTTTCATGCCTAAGGCGGGACTAGAACTTACCATCTCGTGGTGATTGGCCCAAAGTCACCCAACTGGCTTTCATGCCTAAGGCGGAACTAGAACTCTCTGTCTCCTGGTGATTGGCCCAAAGTCACCCAGCCGGCTTTCATGCCTAAGGCGGGACTAGAATTTACCATCTTCTGGTGATTGGCCCAAAGTCACCCAGCCGGCTTTCATGCCTAAGGCGGGACTAGAACTTACCATCTCCTGATGATTGGCCCAAAGTCACCCAACTGGCTTTCATGCTTAAGGCGGAACTAGAACTCTCTGTCTCCTGGTGATTGGCCCAAAGTCACCCAACTGGCTTTCATGCCTAAGGCGGGACTAGAACTTACCATCTCCTGGTGATTGGCCCAAGTCACCTAGCTGGCTTTCATGCCTAAGGCGGTATTAGAACTCACCATCTCCTGGTGATTGGCTCAAAACTCACTCAACTACTGTCCCATTTAGCCATGAACGTTTTGGGCTCAATCGTGGTTGTAAGTTGAGGATTACCTGTCCATCAATGTATTTGTTACATCAGAAGTTGGCAGCCCCGAGGGAAAAGGAGGGACAGGCACCTTTATGCATGCAGGCGCATAGCGGGCCACAAGCATACAAGCATCGCAAACAACACCGCTAGCACCCATGCATCGCTCTGGGTGGTGCTGCTGCCTGCACGATACAAACGGGGCTGCCAGCGCACGTGTGAAGGTCAGGGCAGTGCTCATGGTGGTGCTAGCGCAGTGGTTCTCAACCTTTTTAATGCCGCGACCCCCAACCGGTTGTAAGTCGAGGACTACTCAACCGGTTGTAAGTCGAGGACTACTCAACTGGTGCAGCACCGTTTGCAGAATGGGGCTTTTGGCGGGCTCAGCAGGGCAGAGACAGCCTGGACAATTCCTATTGGCTTTTGAAAGCCAATAGAATTAGACTCTATTCAAGAGAGTCTATTCTATTGGCTTTCAAAAGCCAATAGAATAAAAGGGAGTAGCACAGCTAAGGAAAAGGGGGAAAAAATGGCGGACTGCGTTGTTTGGCGACCCCCGTGAAATGGTCGTTCGACCCCAAATGGGGTCCCCACCCACAGGTTGAGAACCACTGTGCTAGCGTGAGTGAGGGTGAGTTCGCGCACATGCGCACGTCCACTGGCCAACCACTCATGCGCCCAGTGGCCAATAGTCCACGGCCCAATAGTGGGCTGCGGCCCATAGGCTGAGGACCCTTATGTTACATCCTAAGGATTTCAGCCTTCAGGCAAATTGACTTGATATTAAAATCTCCACTGTATTGTTACCATCCTGTTGGAAGAGGGGAATGGATTCCCCTCCCCATCCCACCTGCCTCTGAATAAACGTCTTACGCCTTTTCTTAGATGCTACACCTGTTTACTCTGAAGTTCTCAAATCCGAAAATATCCAATAATCCGATGGACCTCCGGATGTTTTTGCTTTCGTGGGAAGGTGGTCGGTAAATGGCCGCGTTGATCTTCTCCACAATCCACACGAAAAGCCTGCCGTAGATGCCCTGGCAATTCAAAAAGAGGGAAAGACAGTCATTAAAATTTATTTCAGCATCCCTTGGGAGCTGTTCCTCTTTATCCTGGCTCTTATGTTCTAGTTTAGTATTTCTCACACTCGGCTACTTTAAGATGGGTGGACTTCAACTCCCAGAATTCCTGAGTTTCTCGGCTACTTGAAGATGGTGGACTTCAACTCCCAGAATTCCCCAGCCAGCATGAATTCTGGGTGTTGAAGTCCACCCATCTTAAAGTTGTCAACACTGCTCTAAAACCAGTGGTTTTGTTTTTTTTTTAGGGTTGTTTGGAACTGAACTGTGAGGTAGAAAAATATTTTCTCTTCCCTTTTTTATTTCTTTTTTTCCCCCTCATCCCCTTTTTTAGGGGGGTAGCACAGCAATGGCAATTATAAACATTTCTCACATGGTTTCTAAGGGGCCTTAAATGCTTATAAAGGCAAATTGTTTGAAGGGTAAGAAAGGGAAAAGTGAAAATTGGAAGGGAATGGAAAGGAAAGGAAAAGAAAGGAGGGAATGAGAGAGAAAGTATAAAGAAATAACTTCTGGTTTTCTTTCCCAGCATTTACAAGTATAAACGTTAGCTGATCCCTTGCTTTATGGTTACAACATTATTTTCATTTTTTTCCTATAATCTATGGCCCCTTCATGACTCGTGGACTTCAACTCCCAAAATTCCTGAGCCAGCATGGGGGAATATGGCCCCTTCATGACTCATGGACTTCAACTCCCAGAATTCCTGTGCCAGCATGGGGGAATATGGTCCCTTCATGACTCGTAGACTTCAAATCCCAGAATTCCTGAGCCAGCGTGGAGGAACTATGGCCCCTTCATGACTCGTGGACTTCAACTCCCAGAATTCCTGAGCCAGCATGGGGGAACTATGGCCCCTTCATGACTCGTGGACTTCAACTCCCAGAATTCCTGAGCCAGCATGGGGGAACTATGGTCCCCTCATGACTCGAGGACTTCAACTCCCAGAATTCCTGAGCCAGCATGGGGGAACTATGGCCCCTTCATGACTCGTGGACTTCAACTCCCAGAATTCCTCAGCCAGCATGGGGGAACTGTGGCCCCTTCATGACTCGTGGACTTCAACTCCCAGAATTCCTCAGCCAGCATGGGGGAACTGTGGCCCCTTCATGACTCGTGGACTTCAATTCCCAGAATTCCTCAGCCAGCATGGGGGAACTGTGGCCCCTTCATGACTCATGGACTTCAACTCCCAGAATTCCTGAGCCAGCATGGGGGAACTATGGCCCCTTCATGACTCGTGGACTTCAACTTCCAGACATAACAACCACGTATTCACTTTTTTCTATTTCATGCAAAAAAAAAACACAAAGGGTTTCCAATCATTAAAAATGGAATGGTATAAGGAGGTTTCCTGCCTGAGCAGGGGGTTGGACTAGAAGACCTCCGAGGTCCCTTTCAACTCTATTGTTATTATTAGATGAGGTCCTCTCTCTAAGAATCTTGGGACATGTAGTTTTTTCTGAAGAGGGCACCAAGAAATGGCGGGAAAGGACTGAGGGCAAATCAGAATTCACCTTCACAAATGCATCTCTGACATCTATGGCCTGTTCCATGCTGAGCGGGGTGGAAACGGTCTCTCCCCTCGTAATAATAGTCCGGCTAGTCAGACAGTTCATCAGATCCTGAGGCTCAACCTAAAAGCATTAAGGAGAAAAGCTTACAGGAGGTCCTCGACGTACGACGATCCACTTAGCGACCGTTCAAAGTTACAATGACACTGGAAAAACATTTTTTCACCCTTATGACCATTGCAGCATCCCCAGGGTCACGTGATTTACGATCAGATGCTTGACAAATTTGACTCACATTTACGACGGTCGCAGCGTCCTGGGGGCGGGTCACGCAATCTCCCTTTCGTGACCTCCTGGCGAGCAAAGTCCACGGGGCGGGGGGGAAACGCCAGATTCATTTAACAACCGTGTGATTAACGTCACAACTTCGGCGATTCACTTACAAACCGGGGCGAGGAAGGTCGTAAAGTGGGGCAGAGTGTCTCACTTAGCAGCATAAATTTGGGGCTTGTTTGCGGTCGTAAGTCGAGGGCTGCCTGTACACGGACTAGTTCTTGTTCTCTTCCGTAGTGGAGTGAGGCGCCAGTCACGGTTGCACAAATTTGCAGAACTAGCCAATATTTTGCACACATCCCCCCCAAAAAACATCAAGGGAAGTTTCCTTAAAACAGTTGGGGGGGGGTTTGAGACCTATCCTGCAGCCCAGTGTTTCTCAATCTTGACAACTTTAAGAGGGGGTGGACTTCAACTCCCAGAATTCCCCAGCCAGCACGTAATAAAAGTTGTGTTAGCACGCACCGTGACCAACCTGAATTTATGCATATTTTTTTTGCAGCAGTTGTGAAGCGAATACCACCGTCTTAAAGTACTACTACTACTACTACTACTACTACTACTAATAATAATAATAATAATAATAATAATAATAATAATAATGGTGGTGGTGGAAGGGACCTTGGAGGTCATCTAGTCCAACCCCCTGCTCAGGCAGGAAAGCCTATACAACTTCAGACAAAGTGAACCAATGATTCTCTATGGGTGCATTTTGCTCAAAATCAAAGTCCTCGACTTATCACCACAACGGAGCCCAAAATTGACAAATCCATGCAGCCATTAAGTGAAGCACGGAGTCATTAACTGAATCTGGTTTTCCCCCATTGACTTTATTTATTGGAAGTCCTGTCCGAAGGTTGCAAATTGTGATCGTGAGACTCCGGGATGTAAATCAATCAATAAATACGTGCCAGTTGTCCAAGCTTCTGAATTTTGATCACGCAACCACGGAGATGCTGCAACGGTCGTTAAGTGTGAAAAACGGTCATAAGTCCCTTTTTTCAGTGCTGTTGTAACTTTGAGCAGTTATTAAATGAACGGTTGTAAGTCAAGGACTACTTGAATATAGGCAGTTCCGAGTAGAGTGGTTTTTTGCAAAGTCAGAATATTCAGGTCTCATAAATTCAGGATGTATTATTATTGTTGTTGTTGTTGTTGTCATTTTGCTTTGCATGTACATGTGTGCTTCTGTTCTGGAGACAAATTCTTTATGTGTTTAATCACTTGGACAAATAAATAAAGCATTTAATTCAATTTTCCAAGCTTTCTATTGCCTGATTTTATGACCTCTTAATCCTAAACAAGGACTACCTGTAAGCACAGGGGAGGGAAACTATGGCACTTTGACTTGTGGACTTCAACTCCCAGAATTCCTGAGCCAGCATGAGGGAACTATGGCCCCTTTATGACTGGTGGACTTCAACTCTCAGAATTCCTCAGCCAGCATGGGGACACTATGGCCCCTTCATGACTCGTGGACTTCAACTCCCAGAATTCCTCAGCCAGCATGGGGGAACTATGGCCCCTTCATGACTTGTGCAATTCAACTCCCAGAATTCCTGAGCCAGCATGAGGGAACTATGGCCCCTTCATGACTTGTGGACTTCAACTCCCAGAATTCCTGAGCCAGTATAAGGGAACTATGGCCCCTTTATGATTGGTGGACTTCAACTCCTAGAATTCCTGAACCAGCATGGGGGAACTATGGCCCCCTTCATGATCTGTGGACTTCAACTCCCAGAATTCCTGAGCCAGCCATGCATGGCTTGGCTCAGGAATTCTGGGAGTTGAAGTCCCCAAGTCATGAAGAGGCCGTAGTTCTTCACCTCTGCTGTAAGGGGAGCTTCCTACAGCTTCCACCTAACAAGACAGGAGAGAATCCAGCTCACCTCCAGCAACAACGCAGCGGTTATCAAGGATGCAGAGTGGAGAACCTCACAAGCGTCGAGATTGTCGTAGTTCCGGGCTGCAGAAAGAGAAGCAGAAACAAACTGGTGGTAGCAGTGGGACTGGGTTTTGCGCTCTGTTTATATACAAGAGGATTGTTTGCACAGAGCAAACCCCACTCGCTTCTAGCACTGATGATGTTACCTAGTTGGATAATGAAATGTCTGCAAGAAAGCAGACAGGATCAGAAAGCATCAAGTAACCCACAGCCTTTTCCCCCCCCCCTCCTCCTCCTCCTCCTCCTCCTCCTCCTCCTCCTCCTCCTCCTCCTCCACCACCACCACCACCACCACCACCACACCTCCTCCTCCTCCTCCTCCTCCCCTCTCCCTCTCTCTCTCTCTCCACACACCCTACTCCCTTCTAGCACTGATGCTATTACCTAGGACCCCACCGTGTTTTTCCTCCTGCTCCTCCTGCTCCTGCTCCTGCTCCTGCTCCTCCTCCTCCTCCACCACCACCACCACACATCCCACTCCCTTCTAGCACTGATGATATTATCTAGGACCCCACAGTCTTTTCCTCCTCCTTCTCCTCCTCCTCCTCTTCCTCCTCCTCTTCTCTCTCCACACACCCTACTCCCTTCTAGCACTGATGCTATTACCTAGTTGGATAATGAAACGTCTGCAAAGAAAACCACCAAATTCAGAGGCCACCAAGGTCCCCTCATTTCAACCCTGAGCTACAAAGCTTCTCCTCAATCGATAATAATGAACTGAAAAGAGAGAACGTGACAAAACCACACTAGAGTTCCTACTCCATCCCTTCACAGCGATGGGGCTGCTACCTTCGTATCGCAGGTTTCCCATGTGCAGGATGGAGGCCAAAAGTTTGCAGATCTCCCAGTTCTCCGTGTCGGTGAACATGAGGACTTTCATGGCTGCTCGGATGTTGGCGTATTCTTTGCTATCGTCTCTTCCGTCACAAGTAATGCAGTTGCCCTGGTGCAAGGACAAGAGTGTGCAAAGCATTAGAGAGGCTGACCTAACTGACATTTTGGTTCCACAAGCAGGTTATGGCTTAGTTTGAATAGAATAGAGCTGGAAGGGACCTTGGAGGTCTTCTAGTCCAGCCCCCTGCTCAAGCAGGAGAACCTATACTGTCTCAGAGAGGTGATTGTCCAGTCTCTTCTTAAAAATCTCCACTGATGGAGCACCCACAGCTTCTGGAGGCAGGTGGTTCCACTGAATAGAATAGAATAGAATAGAATAGAATAGAATAGAATAAGAATAAGAATAGAATAGAATAGAAATACAGAATAGAATAGAATAGAATAGAATAGAATAGAATAGAATAGAATAGAATAGAATAGGGAATAGGACAGAATAAGGAATAGGACAGAATAATAGAATAGAATAGAATAGAATAGAATAGAATAGAATAGAATAGAATAGAATAGAATAGAATAGAATAGAATAGAATAAGAATAGAATAGAATAGAAATACAGAATAGAATAGAATAGAATACAATAGAATAGAATAGAATAGAATAGAATAGAATAGAATAGAATAGAATACGGAATAGGACAGAATAAGGAATAGGACAGAATAATAGAATAGAATAGAATAGAATAGAATAGAATAGAATAGAATAGAATAGAATAGAATAGAATAGAAGCTGGAAGGGACCTTGGAGGTCTTCTAGTCCAGCTCCCCGCTCAAGCAGGAGAGCCTATACCGTCTCAGTCAAGTGACTGTCTAGCCTCTTTTTAAAAATTTCCAGTGTTGGAGCATTCACTGCTTCTGGAGGCAGGTGGTTCCACTGGTTAATTGTCCTCACTGTCAGGAAGTTTCTCCTTAATTCCAGTTTGCTTCTCTCCTTGATGAGTTTCCATCTGTGGCTTCTTGTCCTGCCTTCAGGCGCTTTGGAGAATAGCTTGACCCCCTCTTCTTTGAGGCAGCCCCTGAGATACTGGAACGCTGCTATGATGTGTCCCCTATTTCTTCTTTTCTTTCTTCTCCAGGCTTTGCCGTTTAGCTTTTGAATCTTCACAGGGGTAGGCGACATCCTCAGTGGGACCTCCATTGCAGCATCTTGCTTCAGTTCTTCTCCGCTTTTATTGATCTCATGTGGTCATATGGTCAGTGGCTCATGTGACTGACTGGTCATATTGTGTGACGTGCCACGTGACCAGCTGGTGATGCCGTGCGAAGGTCACTAAGCGAAGCGGTGGTTGGTGCCATCATTGCTTGCTCGCTCGATTGATACGATTGATTATTATCGGTTCTTAGGCTGCTTCCAAACTGATCGATCGTTTGACAGAATATCAGGCTTCTACATCGGCCGTGTGGTGGTATGTCCTGTCACGACCAGCTGGTCACATGATCTACCAACCACATGAGAGTAATATAAGCAGAGAAGCCCGGTGACAAAACGTTCGGAAGCTCAACAGCAAAGCCCGGAGAACAAACCACCATTAACATCAGGGGTCTTCAAACTTGGCCCTTTTATGACTTGTGGACTTCAACTCCCAGAATTCCTCAGCCAGTATTGGAGAACTATGGCCCCTTCATGACTTGTGGACTTCAACTCCCAGAATTCCTCAGCCAGTATTGGGGAACTATGGCCCCTTCATGACTTGTGGACTTCAACTCCCAGAATTCCTCAGCCAGTATTGGGGAACTATGGCCCCTTCATGACTTGTGGACTTCAACTCCCAGAATTCCTCAGCCAGTATTGGGGAACTATGGCCCCTTCATGACTTGTGGACTTCAACTCCAAGAATTCCTCAGCCAGAATGGGGGAACTATGGCCCCTTCATGACTTGTGGACTTCAACTCCCAGAATTCCTCAGCCAGTATTGGGGAACTATGGCCCCTTCATGACTTGTGGACTTCAACTCCCAGAATTCCTCAGCCAGCATGGGGCAACTATGGCCCCTTCATGACTTGTGGACTTCAACTCCCAGAATTCCTCAGCCAGGCACGCTAGCTGAGGAATTCTGGGAGTTGAAGTCCACAAGCCATAAAAGGGCCTAGTTTGAAGACCCCTGATCAACATCTATCATACAAGCTCCCAAAAAATTTCTATCACGGCTTCGTTTATAACACTGGTTCTCAACCTGTGGGTTGCGACCCCATTTGGGGTCGAACGACCATGTTACGGGGATCGCCAAACAACGCGATCCGCCATTTTTTTCCTGGGACGGCGCATGGGGGCGTGCTGCGCATGCGCGCTGTGCAGGACGCGGCACATGGGGCGCTGCCGCGCATGCACACCGCACATGGCGCCGCCGCGCATGCGCACTGCGCAGGGGGGGCAGCACGACGCATGCACACCGCCTGCTTATACCGGGGTCGCCGTATAAAAAGGTTGAGAACCACTGGTTTATAACAAGGATCAGCCGTTGCAGCCATGCAGAAAAAGGAGATTGGAAAAATGATTTGTTTTAATCTCTTACCATGGAAAGATAATTATAATCGGCTGCTTTTTTAAGTCCCAGCATTTTTTTCTGCTCCGAGCTCATTCCTTTCAGCATGCAGTAAAATATGTGATAATTCCTCTCATCTTGAGCCTGAGGAAAAAGAGAACAGGAGAGGTGAAAGGTTACAATAGAGCTGGAAGGGACCTTGGAGGTCTTCTAGTCTAGCCCCCTTCTCAAGCAGGAGACCTTATCCCATTTCAGACAAATGGTTGTCCAATCTCTTCTTGAAAACCTCCAGTCATGGAGCACCCACAACTTCTGGAGGCAGGTTGTTCCACTGGTTAATTGTTCTCACTGTCAGGAAATTCCACCTTAGTTCCAGGTTGCTTCTCTCCTTGATCAGTTTCCATCCGTTGTTTCTTGTCTGTCTTGTTTGAATAACCAGATCGGAATTCTCTTCTTCCCAACTGTCTTGCGAGGTAGGGCATCCCCCCAACAGCAGAGCCCCCCACTGTCTTGCTGAGAAGGTGGGTGAGGTGGATACAGGTAATCCTCAATTTGCAACCACAATTGAGCTGAAATTTCCCATTGCTAAGCCAGATAGTTGTTAAGTGAGGTTTCCCCCCTTTTACGACCACGGTTGTTAAGTGAATCACTGCAGTTGTGCAGTTAGCAACACAGTTGTTAAGTGAATCTGCCCCCTCCCATTGTCTTTGTTTGTCAGAAGGTCACAAAAGGAGATCATATGACCCCGGGATACGGCGACCATCATAAGTGTGAAAAATGGTCATAAGTCACTTTTTTCACTGCTGTTGTAACTTCAAATAGTCACTAAAGGAATGGTTGTAACTCAAGGACTACCTGTACATCTAAGGGGCTGTCTGTAAGGGATGGCTTACCTGTCTGCAGACGCGGGATTTCTCCAACAGGTACTGCTCAATTTTAGCGCCCTCAATCGCCCCTCGCTTGTTGAAATGGATGTCAATGTATTTGCCAAACCGGCTTGAATTGTCGTTGCGAATGGTCTTCGCATTCCCAAAAGCTAACAGAGCACAGACAGACAAAGGTGTAACCAAGATTGCACTAAGCCATTTCTTCCAAACCAGGTTTAAATGGGGCACTGGATCCAATAAAGAAGCACTTAGGTCAGGGGTAGGAAACCTGGGCTCTTTTATGACTCATGGACTTCAACTCCCAGAATTTCTGAGCCAGCATGGGGGAACTATGGCCCCTTCATGATTCGTGGACTTCAACTCCCAGAATTCCTCAGCCAGCATGAGGGAAACTTTGGCCCCTTCATGACTCGTGGACTTCAACTCCCAGAATTCCTGAGCCTGCGTGGGGGAACTATGGCTCCTTCATGACTTGTGGACTTCCCCCATTGACTTGGCTTGTTGGAAGCTGGATGGGAAGGGTGCAAATGGAGATCACATGACCCCAGGATGCTGCAACCATCATAATTACATGCCAGTTTCCAAGCATCCAAATTTTGATCATGTGACCATGGGGATGCTGCAACAGTTGTAACTGTGAGGACCGATGTCAGTGCTGTAGTAACTTCAAATTTATGCTTCCTCCCTCCATCCTTCCTTTCCTTCTTCCTACCTTCCTCCCTCCTTCTTTCTTCCTTCCTTCCTTTCCTTCTTCCTCCCTCCCTCCCTTCCTTTCCTTCTTCCTTCCTTCCTTCCTTTCCTTTGTCCCTCCCTCTTCCTCCCTCCCTTGCTCTCCCCTTCCTTCCTTCCTTCCTTCCTCCCTTCCTCCCTCCCTCCCTCCCTTCCTTCCTTCCTTCCTTCCTTCCTTCCTTCCTTCCTTCCTTCCTTCCCTCCTCCCTCCCTCCCTCTCCCCTTCCTTCCTTCCTTCCTCCCTCCCTTCTTCTCTCCTTCCTTCCTCCTTCCCTCCCTCCCTCCCTTCCTTCCTTCCTTCCTTCCTTCCTTCCTTCCTTCCTTCCTCAGAAGTGTGGGAAACGCTCATAGATCCCTTTTTCAGGGCTGTTCCTAACTTCAAATGCTCCCTCAGCAAATGGCCGTAAGCCGAGGACTCCCTGCAGCCGAGACTGCTCCTGGTGCCCTGCAGGGCCTGGTGTCGGACCAGAAGCATCCCCGGCCCCTCTTTCCCCCCAGGCGGCCTCCCCCCTCGCCAGGCCCAGAGGCGCACCTTCCAAGATGGGGTTGGCTTCCAGGACCTGCTGCTCGATCCAGGAATGCTGGCCGCTGATGGCTGCCAGGAACTGGAGGATCAGCTTCGTGCTCTCCGTTTTCCCCGCGCCCGACTCACCACTGCAACGTTTTTTAAAAAAAGAGTACAGGTAATACCTCGATTTACGACCACCATTGAGCCCAACATGTTTGTTGTTAAGTGAAACATTTGTTAAGCGAGTTTCGCCCCATTTTAGGACCTTTCTCGCAACAATTGTTAAGGAATCACTACAGTTAACAAAATAACAGAGTCAGAAGGGACCTTGGAGGTCATCTAGTCCAACCCACTGCTCAAACAAGAGACCCCACCCCATTCCAGACAAAGGGCTGTCCAGTTCTTTCTTTCTTTCTTTCTTTCTTTCTTTCTTTCTTTCTTTCTTTCTTTCTTTCCTTTTTCTTTCTTTTTTCTTTCTTTCCTCATTTTTTCTTTCTTTCTTTCTTTCTCTTTCCTTCCTTCCTTTTTCTTTCTTTTTTTTCTTTCCCTCACTTTCTTTCTTTCTTTCTTTCTTTCTTTCCTTTTTTCTTTTTTCTTTCTTTCCCTCATTTTCTTTCTTTCTTTCTTTCTTTCTTTCTTTCTTTTTCTTTCTTTCCATCACTTTCCTTTCTTTCTTTCTTTCTTTCTTTCTTTCTTTCTTTCTCTTTCCTTCCTTCCTTCCTTCCTTCCTTCCTTCCTTCCTTTCCTTTCCTCTTTCTTTCTTTCTTTCTTTCTTTCTTTCTTTCTTTCTTTCTTTCTTTCTTTCTTTCTTTCTTTCTTTCTCTTTCCTTCCTTCCTTTTTCTTTCTTTTTCTTTCTTTCCCTCACTTTCCTTCTTTCTTTCTTTCTTTCTTTCTTTCTTTCTTTCTTTCTTTCTTTCTTTCTTCTCTCCTTCCTTTTTTCTTCTTCCTATCTCTTTTCTATGCCTCTCTCCCTCTCTCTTTCCTTTCTTTCTTTGATGGAGAGAAACTAATCAAGGAACAATCCAGCCTAGAACTACGAAGAAATTTCCTGACAGCGGGAACAATGAATCAGTGGGATGGCTTGCCTCCAGAAGTTGCGGATGCTCCAACATTGGAGGCTTTTCAGAAGAGATTGAAACAACTATCTGTCTGAAATGGTATAGTAGTTTTCCCTGCCTGAGCAGGGGGTTGGACTAGATGACCTCCAAGGTCCCTTCCAACTCTGTTATTCTGTTATTCTATTGCCCAGTGCAAGTGGCTCTCCTACAGGGCAAAAAAAAGAAAAAAACATGGAGCTGGGAATGTGTGGTGGGCAGGAAGAGGGCAAGGTGGGACCTTCCCTAGTAATTCACAGAGTATATCTAATAGATATGTGGATAATTGCTTTAGTCCGGCAAGATTCAGTCTGTAGGTGAAGAGCAATAAAAAAACTACACAGAAGGGCTCCAGGTGTGCTTGTTCATATGTTCATATTAGTAAAGTTGGAAGGGACCTTGGAGGTCATCTAGTCCAACCCCCTGCTCGGGCAGGAAACCCTACACCATTTCGGACAAGTGGCTGTCCAGTCTCTTCTTAAAAACTTCCAGTGTTGGAGCATTTACTGCTTCTGGAGGCAAGCTGTTCCACTGATTAATTGTTCTCACTGTCAGGAAGTTTCTCCTTAGTTCTAGGTTGCTTCTCTCCTTGATTAGTTTCCACCCGTTGCTTCTTGTCCTGCCTTCAGGTGCTTTGGAAAATAGCTTAATTCCCTCTTCTTTATGGCAGCCCCTGAGATATTGGAATACTGCTATCATGTCCCCCCTTGTCCTTCTCTTCGTTAAACTAGACATACCCAATTCTAGCAACCGTTCCTTATATGTTTTAGCCTCCAGTCCCCTAATCATCTTTGTTGCTCTTCTCTGTACTCTTTCTAGAGTCTCCTTGATGGAACCTGGTATCTAGTTTAATGAAGAGAAGGACAAGGGGGGACATGATAGCCATGTTCCAACATCTCAGGAGCTGCCCCAAAGAAGAGGGAGTCAAGCTATTCTCCAAAGTGCCTGAAGGCAGGACAAGAAGCAACGGATGGAAACTCATCAAGGAGAGAAGCAACCTAGAACTAAGGAGAAACTTCCTGACAGTTAGGACAATTAGCCAGTGGAACTACCTGCCTCCAGAAGCGGTGAATGCTCCAACCCTGGAAGTTTTTAAGAAGAGACTGGACAGCCATTTGTCTGAAATGGTATAGTGTTTCCTGCCTGAGCAGGGGGTTGGACTAGATGACCTCCAAGGTCCCTTCCAACTTTTTATTATTATTATTATTATTATTATTATTATTATTATTATTATTATTATCTCCCCACTTGCCTTATAATACAGCACTGATCCCTGTTGTTCCTTTGCATGTTGAAGTAGCAATTGTCTGCGATGGCAAAAATGTGGGGAGGCATCTCCCCGATCTTTTTGTTGGTGTAGAGACGGATCTGCTCCGGGGAGTAAATGGGAAGTAGCTGGTAGGGATTTACAGCCACCAGGATTGAGCCTGTGTACGTCTGGAGAGCGAACAGAAAGAAATACACATACACACATGCACAGACACGAGGGCAGAGGGTAAGAAAAATTGGACGAGCTCAGACCATGGATCTGGCTACGAGATCAGCCACTTCGCGAAAAGGGTTAAACAATGATTATTATTATTGCTGCTGTTATTATTGTTATAAACTGCTGTTATACCAGATAGTTCTGATTCCACAGCATTTTTGATGAGTTAATCCTTCCAAGGTCGTAGTAGCAATTGCAGTAGTAGTAATAGTAAGTAGGGGTAATAGAAAGTAGCAAGGTCCACTAGATTTGGTACTTTTGACTGTTGGATGTTGTTGTAGTTATTATGTTGGCAGTTTAATAAGGAATACTTTATCAATTATTTCATTTATGAAAGTAAACAAATATTTCAGTGTTATGATAGCAACAGCTGAAACGATTAATTGTCGTCTGTGTTATTATGCTGACAATTTAATTTAAAAAAATACTTTAACCTGGAGTCATAGCAAAAAAGCAACCTAACCTTTTATTTAGTCCTCATCCAGCATGGACTTCAACTCCCAGAATTCCCTGTCAGAATGGGTGGACTTCAACTCCCAGAATTCCCTGTCAGAATGGGTGGACTTCAACTCCCAGAATTCCCTGTCAGAATGGGTGGACTTCAACTCCCAGAATTCCCTGTCAGAATGAGTGGACTTCAACTCCCAGAATTCCCTGTCAGAATGAGTGGACTTCAACTCCCAGAATTCCCTGTCAGAATGAGTGGACTTCAACTCCCAGAATTTCCCCAGCCAGAATGGGTGGACTTCAACTCCCAGAATTCCCTGTCAGAATGGGTGGACTTCAACTCCCAGAATTCCCCCAGCCAGCCATACAAGCTGGGGAATACTGGGAGTTGCAACCTCCCCCCCCCCCATCTTAAAGTCATCCTCTTAGGGAAACGTTGCTGTACATTCGTAAGCAGAAAATGCTACTTCACTGTGGCCAAAGTTGAGCTCCCATTTTTCCCAAGGATCTGTGGGGAAAAGAAAGTTACAAACCGTCCCCGTTCAACCCCACAACGTGTCACGGACACAAGACTGAATTGTGTGCTGCTTTTTCAGCCCAGAGCCATATCAGTAACAGAGATGAAGCGGGTTCCATCCAAAGGAAAGCGTGAACCAAAAACAAAGCAATCGCAAGTGCTGCCCCCCCCCCGCCCCCCAGACCAAGCTAAGCATTCTCCTGGGATCCTTGCTCCCTCCCTGCCTCCATCCCTCTCTCTCTCTCTCTCTCTCTCTCTCTCTTTTTGCAAAGCTGCAAAACCATGCAGCGAGCAACCAGGTGAGGGGGTGGACATAAATGCTCTCCTTTCCAAGCAAAGCAAGCAGACGGAAGCGATCCGCAAAATGTAGCATCAAATACAGAGCAGAGCGTAAGGCAGTGCGACAACAAGGCACTTGGTATACTTACCCTTCCGCCACAGTTAGTCTGTGTTTTAAAGCAGAGGGAGCAGGAAAATATTATTTTGTGTTCAGATAACCTTTTCTCTAAGGAGGAGGGGAGAGGAGAGGAGTGGAGAGGAGAGGAGAGGAGAGAGAAGAGACAACAGAGGAGAGGAAAGGAGAGGAGAGGAGAGGAGAGGAGAGACAACAGAGGAGAGGAGAGAAGAGAGGAGATGAGAGACAACAGTAGAGAGGAGAGGAGAGACAACAGAGGAGAGGAGAGACAACAGAGGAGAGGAGAGGAGAGGAGAGGAAAGGAGAGGAGAGGAGAGACAACAGAGGAGAGGAGAGAAGAGAGGAGATGAGAGACAACAGTAGAGAGGAGAGGATGGAGAGGAGAGGAGAGACAACAGTAGAGAGGAGAGGAGTGGAGAGGAGAGGAGAGACAACAGAGGAGAGGAGAGACAACAGAGGAGAGGAGAGGAGAGGAGAGGAGAGGAAAGGAGAGGAGAGACAACAGTGGAGAGGAGAGACAACAGTAGAGAGGAGAGGAGAAGAGTGGAGAGGAGAGGAGAGACAACAGAGGAGAGGAGAAGAGTGGAGAGGAGAGGAGAGGAGAGGAGAAACAACAGTAGAGAGGAGAGGAGAGGAGAGGAGAAGAGAGACAACAGTAGAGAGGAGAGGAGAGACAACAGAGGAGAGGAGAAGAGTGGAGAGGAGAGGAGAGGAGAGGAGAAACAACAGTAGAGAGGAGAGGAGAGGAGAAGAGAGACAACAGTAGAGAGGAGAGGAGAGACAACAGAGGAGAGGAGAAGAGTGGAGAGGAGAGGAGAGGAGAGACAACAGAGGAGAGGAGAGGAGAGGAGAGGAAAGGAGAGGAGAGACAACAGTGGAGAGGAGAGACAACAGTAGAGAGGAGAGGAGAGGAGTGGAGAGGAGAGGAGAGACAACAGTAGAGAGGAGAGGAGAGGAGTGGAGAGGAGAAACAACAGTAGAGAGGAGAGGAGAGGAGAGGAGAGGAGAAGAGAGACAACAGTAGAGAGGAGAGGAGAGACAACAGAGGAGAGGAGAAGAGTGGAGAGGAGAGGAGAGACAACAGAGGAGAGGAGAGACAACAGTGGAGAGGAGAGGAGAAACAACAGTAGAGAGGAGAGGAGAGGAGTGGAGAGGAGAGGAGAGACAACAGTAGAGAGGGGAGGAGAGGAGTGGAGAGGAGAGGAGAGGCAACAGTGGAGAGGAGAGGAGAAACAACAGTAGAGAGGAGAGGAGAGGAGTGGAGAGGAGAGGAGAAACAACAGTAGAGAGGAGAGGAGAGGAGAGGAGAAGAGAGACAACAGTAGAGAGGAGAGGAGAGACAACAGAGGAGAGGAGAAGAGTGGAGAGGAGAGGAGAGGAGAGGAGAGGAGAGACAACAGTGGAGAGGAGAGGAGAAACAACAGTAGAGAGGAGAGGGGAGGGGAGAGGAGAATAGAATATAAAATTTAGATTAGAGTAGAGTAGAGTAGAGTAAAATAGAATTGAAAGTCTATTATACGTTTCCACATGATCACATGGGACACTGCAATTGTCATAGATATGAATGATGTGCCAAGCATCATTTTCATGACCACAGAGATGCTGCAACAGCAAAACCATCCTCACTCACTTTTTTCAGTGCTGCTGTAACTTTTGTCTACGGAGATGCTTTTTCAAGAGATGTTTCGCTTCTCATCCAAGAAACGTCTTCAGTTTGAAGAAGCCTCTTTGATGAGAAGCAAAACGTCTTTAATTAAAGGACAAAGAAAGTCCCGTTGCCTTTTGAAAAACAGTGTCCTTTTGGGGACACTGTAACTTTGAACTGTTGTAATTCGAGGACTAGAGCTATATTATGAAACGAATAGACATTAATACCATCATCATTCTAAACCAGTGGTTCTCAACCTTTTTAATGCCGCGACCCCCAATCGGTCGTAAGTCGAGGACTACTCAACCGGTCGTAAGTCGAGGACTACTCAACGGGTGCAGCACCGTTTGCAGAATGGGACTTTTGGCGGGCTCAGCAGGGCAGAGACAGCCTGGACAATTCCTATTGGCTTTTGAAAGCCAATAGAATTAGACTCTATTCAAGAGAGTCTATTCTATTGGCTTTCAAAAGCCAATAGAATAAAAGGGAGTAGCACAGCTAAGGAAAAGGGGGGAAAAATGGCAGACTGTGTTGTTTGGCGACCCCCATGAAATGGTCGTTCGACCCCAAATGGGGTCCCGACCCGCAGGCTGAGAACCGCTGTTCTAAACGAAGGAAAACTTTCAAATCCCTCTTCCATCAGGAGAAGCACTTACATAAATGAGGCACTCCCAATAGCGGATGAGGAGATTTCTCAGAATGCCGGCCTCGTTCAGATCCCCCAAACGTATCATGTCTTCCACCCCATGGATAGAAGTAGGGTGCATCGGTTTGATGTGACTGGCGTTTTGAGGGGAGACCCAGTGCTCCTGAAATAAATAAATAAAATAAATAAAATCAAGCAAGTCCCATCCATGGAGATCCAGATGGAAAGGAAAGGACGCACAAGGCCAGCAGCTCAAGCTGAGCATCAAACAGCGCATGGTTAAAGCACCAGCGCAAACGCTTCACCACCTGGGTTGCTTTGCAGAGCACCAGAGGGAACTGAGCTTTTGGGGGGAAGCTCCCTGTTTCCGCAGGAAGGCTGTGTTAATCTAGGGAGGCAACAAATCAAAGGGACTAGCCCCTTTCCCAGCCAAGAAATGTGATTTAAGGCAGACGCTTTTGTGAGAGTCCATGGAGATTCTCAGTCCTCAAGATCCTGGATGTCCCAAAGGTGCTGTTTTTTTAAAAGGCAACTGGACTATCTTGTTTTTCTTTGAAGATGTTTCGCTTCTTATTCAAGAAGCTTCTTCAATTCAGAACTAGAATAAAATAGAATATAGAGTAGAGTAGTGATAAGAATAGAATAGAGTAGAAATAAGAATAGAGTAGAATAGAGTAGAGTAGAAATAAGAATAGAATATAGAGTAGAAATAAGAGTAGAGTAGAAATAAGTAGAATAGAGTAGAAATAAGAGTAGAGTAGAATAGAGTAGAGTAGAAATAAGAATAGAATAGAGTAGAAATAAGAATAGAATAGAGTAGAAATAAGAATAGAGTAGAGTAGAATAGAATAGAAATAAGAGTAGAAATAAGAACAGAATAGAGTATAGAGTATAGAAATAAGTAGAATAGAGTAGAAATAAGAGTAGAGTAGAATAGAGTAGAGTAGAAATAAGAATAGAATATAGAGTAGAAATAAGAGTAGAGTAGAAATACGAACAGAATAGAGTAGAGGAGAGTAGGTATAGAGTAGAGTAGAAATAAGAATAGAGTAGAAATAAGAATATAATAGAATAGAGTAGAAATAAGAATAGAATAGAATAGTAGAAATAAGAATAGAATAGAGTAGAAATAAGAACAGAATAGAGTAGAGTAGAAATAAGAACAGAGTAGAATAGAATACAAATAAGATTAGAATGGAATAGAATAGAAAAGAAAAGAAAAAAGAATAGAATAGAAATAAGACTAGACTAGACTAGAAATAAGAATAGAATAGAAATAAGACTATAGAATAGAGTTGAAATAAGAATAGAATAGAATAGAATAGAATAGAATAGAGTAGAGTAGAGTAGAGTAGAGTAGAGTAGAATAGAATAGAATAGAATAGAGTAGAATAGAAATAAGACTAGACTAGACTAGAACAGAAATAAGAATAGAATAGAAATAAGACTAGAATAGAGTAGAAATAAGAATAGAATAGAATAGAATTACAGAACAGAACAGAACAGAACAGAATAGAATTCTGTATTGGCCCAGTGTGATTGGACACACAAAGAATTTATCCTCCAAGAAACCTCTTGGGTGAGAAGCAAAACATCATGAAGAAAAAAGCAAAGGCTGTCCCATTGCCTTTTGAAAAAGCACCTTTGGGACTTCATCAGACACACGCAGCGTCTGCCTCTGAGGCCTGTGTGTTGCATTTGATTCACCTGGTCACCAAAGCTTCTGCTTTCTAATAAAAGGGGGGGAAAATGGCCACCCGATTCCTTCTGAGCCTGTTGAATACCATGCATGTACCAAACAGCTCTGGGGAAGTGTGGCGGAATATAGTCTGGATTCCCCAGAGGGAGGGGCTGCATTGCAGAGGAGCAAGAATCACGTTTGTGTGAGAGAAAGAGGGTGAAGACAGCTCCTTCCTAACAGTTTCCGGATTACAGGTAGTCCCTCAACTTAAAACATTAAGTGACCGTTCAAAGTTACAACAGCACCGATAAAAGTGACTTAGGAACTATTTTTCACGGTCACCAAATGAACCGTTGTAAGTTGAGGGCTACCTGTAGAGAGCCCAAGATTGTCGATACCCAGAACATCAAGGAAAGGAGGGTTCAAATCGCGTGTCCATTTTACGTACGTTTCCTTCATCGTCGATCACCTGGATTTGTCCCGAATCGCACAGCTTGACCACCGCTCCGATGGGAACATCAAATTCCCGTCTGGTCCTGAGGTCCATCCATACATAATCCCCCTGGGAGGAGTGGCAACACAGAAATATTGGAGTATGATTCACATACGCTATGTAGGAAGGAGGAGGAGGAGGAGGAGGAGGAGGAGGAGGAGGAGGAGGAGGAGGAGGAGGAGGAGGAGGACAACAACGACTGTGGGGTCCTTGCTGCTCTCTGAGCTGGATTGTTTTCCTGCAGACGTTTCATTACCTAACTAAGTAACTTCATCAGTGCTAGTGAAGGCGGGTTTTGCCCCCTGTTTATATACTCTTTTGAGCTTCTTTCTCCACCCATTATGCAGCTGGGGGCTCCCTCTTTTATCTGACAGTTCCCAAAGTTCCAAAGCTTTGGAATTTTCAGTGCCGCCGTAACTTGAAACGGTCACTCAATGAGCTGTTGTTAAGTCAAAGACTACCTGTATAATGATACTTCAAGAAGGAATCACCTTTCTGGAATTTTGAGAAGATATACTGTATGTTCAAGTGAAACGGGACGGCCATGTTTCCACAAGGCTCTATTATTTCTTTGTTGGTTTTTTTAAAAAATTATTTATAATGTTAATTAAAACCCACCCAACTCCCTGAAAATTCTGGGCAGTCTTTATTCTACATTCTGGGAAAGGGTTGAACTGATGGTCTCAAGGGACTCTTCCAACCCCCCCATACTATAAAAGCAGAGAAACTGAAAATATTGCACCAACTGACTCTCTCTCTCTCTCTCTCTCTCTCTCTCTCTCTCTCTCTTTCTCCTGTTTCTTTCCTTATCTTTTCTCTCTTTCTCCTTTTCTGTTTCTCCCTTCCTTCCTTTCTTTCTGTTCTTTTTCTCTTTCTTTCTCTTTCCTTCTGTTTCTCTCTCTTTCGCCTATTTTCTCCTCCTCTTTACTTTCTCTCTTTTTCCTTTCCTTTTTCTCTCCTCTTGTCTCTTTCTCTCTTCTTTTCTCTCTTTGTCCCTTTCTTTCTCTCTGCTCTTTTCTCTTTCTTTCTCTCTTTCTCTCTCTTTCTTTCTGTATCTCTTTCTCCTTCTATTTTTCTCTTTCTCTCTCCTCTTTACTTTCTCTTTTTTTCTTTTTCTCTCTCGTCTCTTTCTCTCTCCTCTTTTCTCTCTCTCTCTCTCTTTATCTCTTTTGCTCTCTTTCTTTCTTTTGCTCTCTCCTCTTTTCTCTTTCTCCTCTTTTCTTTCTCCTTTTCTCTCTTTCTGTCTTTTTCCTTTCTCTCCTTCTCCTGTTTCTCTCCCTCCACTTCTCTCTCTCTCTCTCTCTCTCCTGTTACTTTCCTTATCTTTTCTCTCTTTCTCCTTTTCTCTGTTTCTCCCTTCCTTCCTTTCTTTCTGCTCTTTTTCTCTTTCTTTCTTTCCTTCTGTTTCTCTCTCTTTCGCCTATTTTCTCCTTCTCTTTACTTTCTCTCTTTTTCCTTTCCTTTTTCTCTCCTCTTGTCTCTCTCTCTTCTTTTCTCTCTTTGTCCCTTTCTTTCTCTCTGCTCTTTTCTCTTTCTTTCTTTCTCTTTCTCTCTCTTTCTTTCTGTATCTCTTTCTCCTTCTATTTTTCTCTTTCTCTCTCCTCTTTACTTTCTCTTTTTTCTTTTTCTCTCTCCTCGTCTCTTTCTCTCTCCTTCTCTTTTCTCTCTCTCTCTCTCTCTCCCTTTTTGTCTCTTTTGCTCTCTCTTTCCTTCTTTCTCTCTCCTATTTTCTCTTTCTCCTCTTTTCTCTTTCTCCTTTTCTCTCTTTCTGTCTTTTTCCTTTCTCTCCCTCTCCTGTTTCTCTCTCTCCACTTCTCTCTTTTCTCTCTCTCTCTCTCTTTCTCTTTTTTTTCTCTCTCTCTTTCTCTCTCTCTCTCTTCTCTTTTTTCTCTCTCTCTCTCTCTCTTTCTCTTCTCTCTCTCTCTCTCTCTTCTCTCTCTCTCTCTCTCTCTCTCTCTCTCTGAGACATTCTTTTTCAAGAACACAGAGATCATCCTTGATACATCCACTAATACTTTCACATGTTATAAAAAAAAACATCTTTCCAACCGGTACAAAAGCCAAGGAGATGCCACCAGACCTCGCTTAAAAAGCCCTCCATTGGAAAAAGTCCGCCACTAGCAGAAGACCTTAAATGCACACTTTTGTTTTCCCAAGTCTTGTGCAGGCTTACTCAGGCGTAAGTAGCACATCCTTCGCTCCGTCTGCCTTCCAGATAAAGCACGCCCAGGATGCGCAACGTCCTATTTCTCCCAAATAACAAAGACTCTTAACTTTCTCTTACCGGCAAAAGCGTGTGAACTTTCAAGGCTTGGTTGACGTTCCGGATCAGCGCCCACTTTTTCTGGTCTCTCTCGCGGACCCCCATCTCACTGTGGTACTGGAACATGGCACCATTTCAGCTTTCCTTATCGTGTCCCCCCCCCTCCCAAGATCTGTGATCTTTGCACCACGAACTCGGCCCTTCAGTTTAATTTTTGGCTTGAAAATAAATTCTTCTCTCGGCTTCTTCTTCTAGATGTCTTCTAAGTATCTCCCGTCAGAGGTCTCCTCTCCTGACCAATTTGCTTCTTCGGGCAGGGAACAATTTACGGTGTTCCACCACCCATTCCTAAAACCATCCTGGAGTTTTTCCTCTGCTGAAAACCAGATTGTAGCTCTGCAAGATGTTTTGCACCACCCTGGGGTTTTCCTTCCTTCCTTTTTTTTTTTTTTTCCTTTTCAAAAGGAGCTCTGCTTTCAGCTTACATCTTTCAGCTTAGTGAGTCCCCTGGACTTTTTTTTTGAGGGCCAATTATTAAGCCAGATCAGCAAATCCCTCTTTCAACACTTGGCTTTTAATTAACTTAAAACCTTTCAACGCCAAGTTAACCAATGCACCGGAGGGAATCGAACACCCGCAGCCTCCTGCTTTAGCGTTCAACTGATCGCAGGGCTGGGAAGCCATAGCAACCGATTTTTTAAATAATTAAGACCGTGGTATCGTGCCCAGCTAGCAGCATCTTAAATTCCCAAAGGATAGACGTGAGGTTAAGATATCTAGCTGGCCTGGCCTCCAGGAACTCAGACAATCAATTAGAATAGAGCTGGAAGGGACCTTGGAGGTCATCTAGTCCAACCCCCTGCTCAGGCAGGAGACCTTATACCAGTGGTGGCGAAGCTATGGCACGGGTGCCAGAGGCGGCACTCAGAGCCCTCTCTGTGGGCACGCGTGCCATCGCTCCAGTCCTAGGCCTTCAGCTGGGTTTTATAAAACCTTTTCGCTTTAGGCCTCAGCCGCTGTGCGCAAAAAAATAAATAAATAAAAAGGTTCAATCAGTCAACTTCTCGCGGGGAAAAAAAAGTTCTCGCAAAGTTGGAATTGATTGATTGAACTTTTTAGTTCCACCCAGTCTGCCGTTACCACCGCAGCCACGCCCACCCAATTGGCCACACCCAGCCAATGGGCCACGCCCACCCAGCACCCGATGATGCATAAGTGGGTTTTGGGTTGCAGTTTGGGCACTCAGTCTCTAAAAGGTTTGCCATCACTGCACTATAACATTTCAGACAGCTGGCTGTCCAGTCTCTTCTTGAAAACGTCCAGAGATGGAGCACCCACAACTTTGGAAGGCAAGTTGTTTCACTGGTTAACTGTACGCGCAGTTAAGAAGTTTCTCCTTGATTCCAGGTAGCTTCTCTCCTTAATTAGTTTCTCAATCAATCAGAATGGAGCTGGAAGGGACCTTGGGGGGGGGGTCTTCTAATCCAGCCCCCTGCTCAAGCAGGAGACCCTGTAAAATTTCACACAAATGGCTGTCCAGTCTTTTCTTAAAAACATCCAGTGATGAAACATCACAACTTCTGGAGGCCAGCTGTTCCACTGGTTAGTTGTCCTCACTGTTAGGAAGTTTCTCCTTAATTCCAGGTTGCTTCTCTCCTTGATTAGTTTCCATCCATTGCTTCTTGATTTGCCCTCTGGTGCTTTGGAAAATAAGTTGACCCCCTCCTCTTCTTTGTGGCAGCCCCTCAAATACTGGAATGCTGCTATAATGTCCTTCTTTTCTCTATCCATAGTCAATTCCTGCAATATGTTTTAATCTCCAGGCCTTTAATCATCTTGGTTGCTCTTCTCTACACTTTTTCCAAAGTCTCAACCTCTTTTGTGTAACAGGGTGACCAAAGCTGGATGCAGTGTTCCAAGGGATGGCCTTACTAAGGCTTTGTAAAGCCGTACTAAGACTTCACGTGATTTTGATTCTACGCCTCTGTTAATACAACCAAGGATTGTATTCGCTTTTGGGGGCTACTGCTGCACACGGCTGGCTCCTGTTTTCCAATTTCAATTTTCAAACTCCATTTTGCAGCCCTTGGAGGCGGGACAGATCAGGAAACAGAATCCTGAGAAAGGAATTCTGGAATTCTAAATGCCCGTGGAGATTCTCAGTCATCCAGATCCTGGTTGTCCCCAAAGTGCTTTTTCAAAAGGCAACGCGACTTTGTTTTTCCTTGACGATACATCCAAAGAAGCTTCTTCAGTTCTGACCGAAGCTCTGACCTGTGGACTTCGACTCCCAGAATTCCACAGTCAGCATGGCTGAATGGGGAATTCTGGGAATTGAAGACCACACGTTTTAAAGTTGTCAAGAGTTGAGAAGCACTCAAATTTCACCCAAAGTTGAGCTCCATTTCACGGTTACCCCAGCCTATGCGATCCTTCCAACCTTAAAAACACCTCTGGTGTATTTACACATTTCCCAGATGTTTCTAACCTTCTGCTCCATGTGCGACCTCGTGTGTTCCTCATGGTCTAATCCCAACCTCTGGGAAAGCACGCCTGACTTCATTCCCTAATTTGAAGGCCGGGATTTTGACAGCGGGAGCCATTAAGATGCTAAATGGGTCCATCCAGAGCAGGCCAATGGACCATATTTTAATCTATATGCAAATAGGTTGTCAGCTGATGGTGGAAAGGGGAAGAGCGGTTCTCGTCTGTCGTTACAGCTGCAAACAGTTTGGAGGCGGCACATAAATCGCACATGAGACGGATGACATGGTTCCGAAAAGAAGCAGCTTTTCAAAGAACTTTG